TTGGAAAAAGTTGGACGAACTCGGACGAGTTGCCTCGATAGCCGAAATTCAAATCAGCATTGTGTTTGAAATTGTACTACAGATCTCCATGAATCTCGATTATTGAGGCAACTAGCCTTAACCCGTCCAACTTTTTCTGAATTGGCCTGATTGTATCGGTCTACTCGGGTACCCGCCCAAGCCCGCCTGATTTCTTCTTACTTGGCTTAAACACTCGGGTGCCCGCTCACTCTTGAATCAAAGTTATTAACTTCTTTCATATAAAATCTGCTATGGTTTGATGGCATAAAAATAATATAAAATAGCTAAAAATAAGCGTATAAATTGCTGTATTAATTTACAATTACCTATAGATTTAATGAATCCAATGACTAGTTACTAATTACAGCAAACAATGACCGATTTCGAAGCATGCAAGCTCTAATACGATTTGATGACATAAAAGTACCACAAAACACTACTTATAGCATCAATCAATTTATAGCTTATTGTTAGTATCGTCCATTAGCGAAAATTCAATTTTCAATGGCTTTATTTCAAAGTGATAATAACAAAAATTATATTTAATACGTTAATTGGCGCAGTGAAAATAGATGTTTGTCGCAAGAAATATTGAAATTGTAGTTATTGAAAATAAGAATAGCTTATAATTTTCTTTCCCCCTAGACTTCCCCTTGATCTAGTACTGGTGACTTCTACAATATTCAATGTGTAAAAAACAATTGCCCTAATATTAAAAAAAATACCTTTTTATTTTATTGCGATTCACCATCAAAGGGAAATACTATTTGAATAATAACGATGCAAATGAATATTCCAGTTTGAATGATCATGAATTTCCTTCTCAATCATCAAAACAATCCTGTTAATAAAGGTCTGAGTTCGTCTACAACGTTGCTATTGTGTTACAAAAATTGTTATTAAACAGAAGAAAATTCAAGTCTCTTGAGAATTTCAAAAGCAGTCATTTAAGTCGATTCCTAAAAGCCTTGTGATTTTCTTTAGGCGAGTGCAAAGAATCGTGGAAGCTTCTTGAAGAGGAAGCTCTCTGTAATCAAGAAAATCGCGTGCACTTTCTCTTCTCGTCTCGTCTGTAAACTGTCCGCTTCGGCGTTGAAAGCAGTTCGACCGAGTGTTCTATGTTATTACATCAATAATTGAAGAGAAGCGTAAAAGCTGACGAGACTAGGTTTTCAGGCTGCACGATTTACGTTTGTTACACTATGTTCATGAGATTCTTTATCAGTTCCCACGGAAAGCTTTGTCGTTCTTTTGTGTCGTGAAAGAAAACGTAACAATTTGATTGTTCATCTAAATAGACTTTATTATATTCGGAACAGGAGAGTAACGGCTCAAGTCTGAATTGATCTTGCTGACCCCATGCGGGGAAACTGAGAAACTCCGGACCAGCAGCAAACTGTCCGTTGGGAGTTCAAGGAACTTCCCAATAGCTTTTACCGTATTACCTAATTACCGTATTACTTCGAATTTAAGCCACACTCTTTATTCAAATTTTTAAGACGTATAAAATTAGGGCGCGGGTTAAATTCAAAGTGAGAAATCAAGTTCTGAAAGTGAAGATGTCGAAAGTGATAATATGTATATCTCGAAGAAGATTCTCAATAAATTAGGTAGCTTATTATATTTATATTTGCACTTATTTAAGTTAATTTAATTTTTTTCTATTTTTCAATACATGATTTAAAATCATTTTTATTTTTATTGTTTTTACCAATTTTCCAATTTTAAAATCTTACTACGGTTTAAATTCAAGGTCGGCTTGTTAGATTCGAAGTAATACGGTCATGTTACTAATTTTCCGGTAAAAATTTAAGTCCAAGTACGCCCCTGCTCCGGACAATTCTTATCTCCCCTGCATATTCTTGTATTTGAAAGACAAAGATTCCAATTTTGCGATTCTCTTTTATTCAAGATTTTGAGGCGAAGAGGCAACATTCTTTTCTGATTTTTTTTTTTAAATATTCTTTGTACAATTACTCAATGCTGTACAGCATTGCAACTTCGTGTGTTAATTTATATTTTACATTTTACGTTCATGTAAAACGATTTTCATTTCTTTTGAAAGCGTATAAAACGGAAATTTACAGACTTACACGTAATGGTTTTTTAATTATAAACCAAATTATCACACATACAGAGGATGTACTAAATAATTGGAACACTAAGAAATTCAAAGAATTATGGTTCAATTTCCAACCCCTGATCAGCATGATCACTTGATTTTAGCATTATTGAATCATCAAGAGTTTAAAAACAAAATGTTTATTCTATTCTCGTACGGGTCTCTTTCAAGAACAATTAGAGAACGAAATTAATTTCATTAATTAATTCATCAAAGAAGAAGAATAGAACCGATAATACTATTACCATCATACGAATCGTATGAAGCAGTTTGTTAAAAAATAAGGTTACAAAATTGAACGTTCGAAAGTATAATAATTTTTATAATGGTTGCAAACATAACCTTTGAATATTACGCTGCTAATGAACGTATTAACAGCCATTAAAATATGAAGATAAAATGAAATAGGTATTGTAAGCTGTGCTATCATCAAAAAATATTACAAAGGAAAACTAAAAGTCCTAAAAGAGGAAACAGAGTAATTAATCCTTTGACTGCGGTCCACCCAGAAGTAAAAGGCGAACTGTCTACAAAGTAGCAATAGTCATTATTATGCACAATTTAAAATAGCTCTTAAAAATTTCAAAATATTTTTTAAAATACTTGAAATCACTGTTTTCTATTCTTTAATTCTAATAGCTTAAAAATTGCGCTTAAAAATAAATATGGTGGAGACAGATAAATTATATACATATAATTTAATTTTTATGATAGAAAAATTATTTGGAAGATTAAAGTAGTGAAATTTAACTGAATTTTAATTCAATTTTGTATTTCAAAATTAACATTTAAAAAATTATTCTCCCAATATATGAAACTCTTTCATTAAATAATTGTATATTTAACTGTAGATTAATATCCTAACATATAATTTTTAAGTTTTAGTCTATTTTAGTCTAAACAATTCCTGTTGTAAACTTAAAAATGATCATACTGTATGATTAATAAAGGCGTCTAATAACAAGGTGAATGAATATCTGAAGCGCCTGTAAGAGTCAGTATAAAAGGCTTAATTACCTACTTACAATCAGACCAGAAAACGTTTCAAAAGAAAAACAATTCAAAGAGTGTTCAAGTGGAATTAAAATGTACTCTCTTCTTCTATTAATTACTCGGCTATAGAAAATTTGAGATGCCGGTCACTGGTTATCCCCGTTGCAATCAACCTGATAAACAGCATGTCCATGAAACTGAGCTGTTTCTGGGAAGTCATTCCAAATTTCTCTGGCGAGAGTTGTCATTTCGAAGGCGGTAGGCCAACGCTTCGCAAATCATCTCGGAAGCATTTACGCTCGAGAATCGTGCCAACGTTTCAGACAGCGTAATAACAAAGAAGACTGCTAGTTGAAAAGAGGATTTCATCAATGTCTCTATTCAGCGTACAGTATGCTGGTAGTTTTACGTGAGAGATCGGCCCGTCCCGAACACTCGAGGAAATTAGAAGCAGAAAATTTCATGCTGAACAAGAATCGATCAGTTGATGGTGGAGTATAACGGATAATAATGGACAATTAAAAAAAAAAAAATAGGATTCTAGATCGATGGACATTGTCATTGAGAAGGGGTTCAAAAGCTAGCTGACACAAAGAAAAATTATTGGCATGGAGGAATGAAGGGATTTGTGAAACGACCGTAAACTCGAGAAAAGTTTCGTTCACGTTTACCCCCGACGATAAACGTAGAAGTCAAAGGTAAAACTAGGGGAGACTTTCCTTCGATAGAAATGGACGGTTAAATGTCGCGAAGGGTTCAAAGGTTCGACGAACGACGCTACCTGAAAATAGTTCTCGAGCGAAGCGAGGGATAAACGCGTGCCATGATCGAAGAATGAGATTAAAGGGTGAGATTTTCCTTATTCTCTATTCCTTCAAAAAAAATACTACAAACGAAATGTCCCACGGTCCGTCGAGCAATACAAAATTCTCCCCTGATACGCCATCTATTGGAATCAAACACCCCATTGTTGCAGAATTCATAATTGTTTCTGAAAAGTAATTCAATTTATACGGATTCGATACAGGGGATGATTAAAAAATTCATGGGCTTCGTTCGGGTAGGAAAATTGAAACGAGAGAAGACTGACATCCTTGCATGACCCATAATGAGAACGATACACAGAAACTAGAAAACTAGATCACAGTCGAAATTCAGGAAGCACTATTCACCCTTTGCACTAGTCATTATTTTTATACACTGTTTTTTTACTTATGTACAAACGGACATAATTTTCAGTAATTTGAAAAATTTTCTTATAAAATTAATTGATCATTGGTTAAAAGTAACATCTACTCACGATACACTGGGATTCGAAATACGAGCACGTATATGTTTAAAAAAAGAGGTTTCATATTTTTCAAAAATGGTCGAAATATAGAGTTATCTATTCACCAGTATACGGTAGCAACTCGAAAGCATGCTTACTTTTAACTCTCGGACGACGAACCTTGAAGAGAGCTATAATTTTAACTTCATATTATTTTCATTTTCTAAATTTTACACTGTTTCTTTAAAAATTATCACTCCAATATATGATACTGTTTCTCTTGTATATAATTAGTAAGTTTGACAGTGGATTGACTCGTGCTCCGCTGTTTCAGAGTTAAAATTTCTTTACAAGAAAGTAAATAGTGAAAATATAAAGATATTACTTTATCAGTTATGGCAATTTGAGAGCAGAGTTAAAACGGGTGGCGGTGAAAATGCAGCCCTCTCGAGAGGGCTCAGGAAACCGTAGAAGCTTCCGGTCTGAGTTTCCTCTAGGCATAATTTCTTCAAAATTTGAACGCTTTTTAAAGAAAAGTTGGCGGAGTTGAAGAACAATATAGAAATGGTTGTTCAAAAGGAAATCACTACTCACGGTGCTTTTTCGTCGGCTGCCTGCTCTGAAACGGGGGTTGTTCCTCCTCTTTTATCTACTAGCTCGTCGATCCTACGTCTACGTGGTCCGAACGATGCAAAAAATGAAGCTGCTGTTTTGACGTGAACACGATAGAAACGGCGGATGAAAACACGAAACGTCGCGTTTTACAAGCGCATCATTATACGCCCTGCGACATCGACGACGGTGTAGGTGGCGGAAAATCTATCGGTGGCACGGTCTCTCGACGATGGGACACGAGTGCGCCTGACCGTTAGCGGACACGAACATGGCCGACCCCAACGAAATCGATAAAACACGTTACGTTTTCCGCCGTTTCGACGGAGCCGACGCTGTACGATTTTCCACCCCCTCTGTATTCGCGAGAGAAACGCTTGCGCCGATCCAAGCAAACGCCGTCCAAGATCGTATGTACAAGTCGACGTCACGATGGTGGATGTTTGATGAAACTCACCCCTTCGATAAGGAACGTTCCTTCAGAAACACGTATTCACGGTTTAACCCTACAGAGATGTTTCCAATTGAATCGTTTTTACGACTCGTTTCAACAAATTTTTATGTTCTCTGTGTATTGATAAAAAGTGAATCCAAGTGTTATGGAGACACTTAATGCGGTTATATTACAAAAGTCCTATACTATAAAATTGCACATAATTTATTTGGAGTACATTATGATATGTAGGGTATTACCCTAAGTTAAATATGTAATTCTAAAGCTAAAGAGTTTCATATATTTGAAGAATAATTTTAAAAAGAACAGTGTAAAATTTAACAAATGAAAATAGTATGAAATACAGAATTGAATTAAAATTGTGACTCTCTCCATGGTCCGTCGTCCGAGGATTAAACACTGGTGAAATGTCAAAAAGACTAAAAGTACTAAATCGAAAATATGTACTTAGGTACAGTACAGGATAAACATTTGCTGGAGATACATTTTTAATTATAACCCAAGAATACTATTTTTAATTTTCTTGAAAAACTAAAGCGTTACAAGGGAATATAATACTAAAAAAAAAATAGGGATACTTACTATGAATATTTATTCCTTTTTTATTTTATATTGTTGAGGTGCTTTACTTTTTTTTTACTAATATTAGTAGGTGTACAAGTTAATTTAATGCCTTTAACATTATCTCTTTCTAATTACTACAATTATATATATTTTTCTACACCTCTTTTAGATTTCAAATGCTAACAATGAGTTTAACAATTATTTAAAAAATTAGCACTAATATGAGCTCAGAGAAGAAATTTTCAATTAAAATAAAAAGCTGTGAAATAATTGATATATCTAATATATTAAAGGTTGTGTATTCTACAATTGTGATATCTCTGAATGAATTTAATCATTCAATACAACCACCTTAACTGAAATTTTATACACTGATAAATATTGATATTTTGAATCTATAGAATTTGCAATGACATGAAAAGGAATAGATAATATGAACATATGTTCTGGCAATTCAATTCTGTAGATTTTTTTGATTGAATACTAATAACATATATCGTGTGCTAATAGGAAGTTATCGTAAGTGTTCGGATGATATTTAGGGGAGATGTTGAATATTGATAAATCTTGATATTTTGAAACTTGCTATATTCTTGTCTACTCTAATATATTCAGTCCTTGGTATTCCGAAACTTCTTTTGGCGACAAAGATTGTTAATTTAGAAGACATTTAATATCTCAAAGTTTCAATGGTCTTTATACATTCTAATAGTTAATGGGGTAGAGGAGGATAATGATGGTCACGTAAGCAATAACTTTAATAAAACCAAAGCACGAGAATTTACAAACCTAAATTACGTAAACACTTTGGTAAACCTTGAAGATTCTTTTATTCACAGCATCATTATTATACGCATTGAGAATTTTTTTTGCTATTTGTACCTTCGAATAAGTTTTTACCTTTGCAACAATTAAAAAGAACAGCTGCTTGAAAGTGTACCGTCTCGTTATTATTTTCAAATCAAAATAAACATTATCAAAATTTAATTAAATATAATGAACTTTCTTTCAAATTACCTTTAAAATTTCAGCTTTTAGTCCATACGTGCGTTTTGTAAAATTTGAATAGCCTTTTGTTTTAAAAAATAACAAAAATCGCCACTTACGTAAAAGTCCGACATTACTTATTAGGGTACGTTTATGTTGGAGCGTCGATAAACGATAAGAGCGTCGATCATAGCTGCGAAAAAATATCTCTGGTTTGTTTATAGTAGAGCTCTGATAATAAGACAACTTCACATTGCTATGATCGATGCTCTTATCGTTTATCGACGCTCCAACATAAACGTACCCTTAGCCAACCTAGTACATACATTGTTTCATTGGGACGCATGTGTCCCAACAGAGTTGGAGGGTTAATGTCTTTAGTACGTCTGACTATTCACAACCATTTCTGCTGGAACACTTAGCCCTCGGATGGCGGACCATGGAGGGAGCTTCAATAATTTTAATTTAATTTTGTGTTTAATGTTATTTTCATTTTATAAATTTTACACGGTTCTTTTATTAAGATAAAATAAATAGTAATTGCATGATTTATTAATTAAAAATATTAATTAAATTCTTACTAACCCTCAGGAAACGGATCGCTGTGGTAGCAATAATACAACTTTGATTTTAAATTCCTTTTTATTTTCATTCTTTAAATTTTAAATTATTTTTCCAATAGATGATGATCTACTGTCAGAAGGTTTGAGAGTTTTTTAGTCGAAGTGTCCTTTTTGTAAGTCTGGGTCATAATTTATCCCAGTACCTGTACTTCGATGCTTAAAGAAATAATTCATTTGTTACCATCAACAAAAATCGTATAGAATATTATACGTTCTAAAAGTATTTCTATTTGCTTTAGTAAAAGAGTGTCTGCGAAAAGCGTGATTGAATTCAAGCTACAGAAGAAATGGAGAATTCTTTTTATCGCCATAGAAAACGTCATATTCAACAATTTTGCAGAAAGAGGAAATCGATTCATAAGCTCGACTCATTCACATCCAGGAACATGTGAACCTTGGCACAAAGAACGCCCTTGCGCGGGTAAAACAATTGCGTAAGAGTGGCTACATTCAGAATATCCTTACAATAACGCTAAATCTGGAGGACTATAATCAATATGTTTTTTCATGTCCATAAAAAGCACGCAGTAGGCGTAATTTTCCGAGGATCATCCAAGTTACCTCGTTGTTTTGATTGAAATATTATTTTTCATCCCTTATTTTGTAATGTCACACGTGGAAGAAATGTTCATCTTATTCTATTCACCTTTCATGCCATGAAGTCATAAAAACATAATATTATTTTTATGTTACTTTTCATCTTTTGAGTTTTCAAAGTAGCGAGAACGCAATATCATTTTTCTGTCGTTTTACTTTTCATCCAGCGCACCTCAAAGCTAGGAAAATGCAATAGAAATTTCATGTACCTTTACTTTTTATTCCCTTTACTCGAGGTAGTAAACTTGCATGCTTTTCCGTGGAATAAACGAAAGAGAAATATTATTACGTGTGTGTTTATTAATTGACATTCCATAATGAGAATGATTTCATTTGAGTTAAATATAAACAGTAAACCATTGATTAATATTAAATAAATCAAAACGAAATACTTGTATTATTATTTGATATATTAATCAATATATCTCCACAGCGAGAGTAATTTCATTCGATTTAAGTATTATATAAATAATACGTTATTGATTAATATTTAAAAAATTCCTACACAGCGCCGAATTAAGGGAATGTATAAGAAGGTTTACAATCCTCGATCCCACTTTGAAGGGGGCCCAATTATAAACCTCCCATTTATTATGTCAAAAAATATTAAATAAAATTTTATCTACTGCTCATCTTTTTCTTTACAATTGAGTGTTATTAAATTTTATTCATGCTCAATTTCAATTTTTGAACCAATTTTAGATTTTTAAAGAAAGTCTTATAGTCCGCCTCTGTCCGTCCATCCGTCCGTATGTTAGCTCGTGTATCTCAAGAACCAAACGTGCTAGAGAGTCAAGGTTGATCTTAAACTAAAGCTTATAACCATAACTAGCTTCGTCCTAAGTTTGGAGGTCATGTGACTTCCGGTTCCGGTTTTCGCGAATAAAGATGTCTATAGAAGTCTCCCATTCCTACCCTAGTAGGAGGCGTAGCTAACTTAGATCAATTATTTGTAAGAGACTGTCACAGGTTTGGTAGCCCCGGGCCCAAGAAATCTTAATCCGGCCTTGGTACAGTAAAAGCTGGATATATGCAACAAACATTGGGATCCAGACGTTGCATATATCCAGTCGAGGTGTCGAATCTCGGGTTACACGCGACGACCAGCTAAGCGTGAACGTAGAAAGGGACAGACAGTGGCGGAAAGAGAGAGGTCCAATGATCAAAGGAAAGAGCCGAAACATATCGATGTGACTAATACTAATTGAATCAAAAAGCTTTTTCATTTTTGACTTTTTTTTAATGAAACTTTTACTAGCGCATTGGTGAGATTTTTGTGATTAAAGTGGTACCAAACACGATATAGTTTGAATTATAATTACTTGCTAAAATTGATGTTAAGAGCAGTCGCGGTGTCGGCTCTGGTTTCAAAGGTTTCATTTATCCAGGCGAGGTGTCGATTCTGGGCATTTAATGTTGCATTTATCCAAGCGAGGTGTCGATCCTGCGTCCGTACACATGTTTTGTATTCAGCCGACATGCCGATTCTGTGTCCGTACACATGTTTTGTATTCAGCCGACACGGTCGGATCATATTACACGGTTTCCTCGTCGAGCGGTTCGGTTCGCCTAGGGGGATCCCCCCAGGTGGAGGGGATAGCGATGTTGCATATATCCTGCCAAACTTTTGTTGCATATATCCAGCTTCTACTGTGCTATGGTAAATTGCAATCATTTTAGTAATTTTAGCAATTTTTATGATACATTAACAATATACATTTAAATTTTACTACATATATTATGCGCAGCAATACAATAAATATATTTCTCATTATTCATTATAAACATAAATTAATTATGAAGCTTAAAGATAAATACAAGAATATTAGTATAGAAGGATCCAAACGATTTATTATGCTTAAAATTATACAGTATACGAAAATTTATTTTAGAATAAAAGGGTATAGCAGGATAAGATGGTCAAAAGTGCCCTTGAGCCGATTTTACTTCGCAATGCACCATTCGATAGCTTATCCCAAAAAACCATGGTACACCAAGTTTCAACCCTGTACCTCAAC